ACACGGTTTATCATTTTTTGCGAGCATTTCAGATCAACCTACGTTGTGATAATTCTCTCTCTCTCTCTCTCTCTCTCTCTCTCTCTCTCTCTCTCTCTCTCTCTCTCTGCCCTTCCTTTCCTTTTACTTTTTACACATAGTTTTTATTATCTCTACTTCGAAGCCATTCGAAATACCTGTCACACGATCAATGAATTTGGAAGCTGAAAGGTAAGCACGCGTCTCACGGAATAACCGAGTTTATGGTTCGTCAAATGTGGATTGAATCGATATTAAAAAAAAAAAAGTACATAAAAATCTTCACTCGCGGTAATCAGAGCGTACCTGTACGACGCAATCAGTTTTTCATGTTTTTTCTTCTTTTTCTTTTTTAAGTTCTGATATAACCTTTTACTATTATACCTTTTTGCGATATATTGCATACCTTCAATGAATTACATTACATATGCCGACATTTCGATTCAATAGCTAAGAACTTTATCTTCTCTGCCGTAATGCAAATAACAATTTTTTTTTTGTATTCTCTCAATTATTCCATGCGGCCGTATCCATAATTTCGAATAATTGTACGTACACTCTTTTGTGATGAATGACCGTGCAATTCCCTGTATGTACCAATTATCCTCCGTATTCCAAATGAATACGTAATATAGTTCATTTGAACTGAATTTTAAATACATGTTGCATTTACGTGTAAATATATTACGTGTAAATATATACGTAGGATAATCCCCCGATTTGTCACCATTAGATTTTTTTCTATGGGATCATTTGCAATCAATAGTCTACGCGGTACCAATTCAAAATATAAAACATTTAAAGCAGCGAATCCGTACAGCATGCGAAGAAATTTAACGTGACAACATTATAGGAGTAACTAATAGAAATTTAAAAACAATAAAAAGTATCGAAGGTCCTAAATATCTTTAGATAAAAATATAAATTTTATAAAAAAATTGTTCATAATCTTGACATCGTATGTTAAGAAGTTTGGAAGTTACATTAAAAATGAAAATAAGAGGAACAATCTCAAAAAGACTTGCTTTTGACAAATATTATTAAAATTATAACCCTAAACAACATTTAAAAGGTTTTAATCATCAGTTGAATACCTTAAATAATGTTAATGCCGACGGCACTGTCACACTCAAGCCTTATAATTCAATTCAATTTTCACTTAATGAAAAAATATTTTGTCATAATGTTTTGAAAAACTCATAATAAGTTACAAAAATATGCAATAAAAAATAGAAGTTTTAAAAAATCATGATTTTAACCTGTTGACGTCGCCATGCAATATCAAATTATGTGCAATAAAATCAGTAAATAGATCTTTTTAAACTCTATAACTTTTGTCTGAAATGTCTTTTTATAAAATTTATATTTTTTGAGACATTTAGGAGATCAGTTACTCTTTATACACTCTGTATAATACATTTATGTTGATTTCTATTTATTCATTTGAATAAATTCTCATCTATTGTACTTATAAGCCACAAGTATATACAGCCAATTCATATAGATAGTTGCAATTAAAATGAGAATGAATATATTAAACGGAAACTGAATCCTCAGTTAAGTTCCTTAATTTAGTTTCTTAATTGAGGATTCTCCTTTTAAATATAGCTTGTCAAATCTCAGTTACCTTTATTTTATAGATAATATAATAGAAAGAGAAAAAAAATTGGCAAATGATACATAGTGATACCTCACAAAATATTTTATATTTAAAGACAATAGTATAACTTTTTAAAATTACATAAATAAAGACAAAGAAAAGCACAAATATAAAAAATAAATTATTTACTTGAGTACTTGCACTTTGCTGTCTGATCAAAAAATTATCTCTCCATAAAAAAAATAATACGAAATAAATACTTATATTTTGGTCAGATCAATAATGTGTATATAATCCTAAATATAATGTATGCAATCCTAATAATGTATGCGACATAAATAAACAAATTTTTTAATGTAGCATAATTAAAATTTTAAATATTATTAATGCGACGGTAAAAATTAAATTAATAATTATGAAACTCACATAATTTTCAATCCGTATTTGAAATAGAAATTCGTTATTATGATATTTTGTTTGTTAATATAAAACTTAAACATGAGTGCATGAATACGTAGTCATATCAAGTACCTATCTTAAGTTTCGTCACAATATCCAATTTCAATGTAGAGCGTGTTTCAATATAAAGCGATATATCCGTTAGATCTGCTGTCAAATTTATTGCGAAGTTAATTTCAATATTTTACCGAGTTTTTTTTCACGCATCTGCCTTGAACATGCGTGTCGAGATCAATGGATGTTCGAGAACTGTTTGTGCTCTACAATCTATACTCCATCATTGTAAGTGCTTCAGCTTCGCTGTCAAGAGACGTGACCTAAATTATTTTAAAAATGAGAAAAAAAATTATGATCGACGCGTAAAATTCTCTGACACATATAACGTGCATACAATACAATGCTCTCGTATCCAGCTTCTCTGGTATACAACAAGATTGTAAAAAGTGAAATAAGTATTAACTCCGCATAATAAAAATTTTTATCCTTAAAAGAAATATTTTAAAACACCTAAAATATAAAGTAAACAAAGAACTTGAAGATATATATTTAAAAAATGTATTTATAGTTTTTTATTTATTTATAAATCATTGCGATCAATATAGTTTACGAGATATTTTTACATCAACTGGTACAAAAAAAAACATATAATTGCTTATTTTAAAAATTATCTATTTTGTATATATATATGTATATTTTTTAAGGCAACTGTATATTTTTTTACATCAATTAATTCATCTCATTTTTCTATTTATAAAAGTATGAAGATACAATTATTAAAAAATTAACATTACATTATGCTATATTTATTATAATTGTTAAATTTATTTATAATTTACCCGATAAAATATGAGAAATCTTGAGTTTCTATCGCGACAAAAATAAAATATAGAATTGATAACGGGTAAATATAGATAAAACAACGTGAAAATGCGCGCATTTGGCATAAGCATAGGCTATAGTTGAGCTCACTGTATATATTAATCCATAATCTGTACGGTCGTGCATGGCTATCGGTTTGTATATGTCCATCGATTTGGAAGTAGCGTCGACGGAAATGTGTAGCGATATTGAATCAGTCACAATTCGATGTTCTATCGTTAATATAATACGTTAATATAATACATAAAATTGAATATTGAAGATGACTCTTCAAAGACGGATTTCACAGCCCATTTAAATCGGCATTAGGATGTCTGACAATGAGACGTATATGACAAACACGAATTAAACTCGCACTATCTGTATTATAAAAGTAATATCAAATCGAACAACTTCGCATTACACTTGACCGTGTCATCAACAAAATTACACGACATAAAATATCGTCTTACACTATAAAAAGAAAATTATAGGAAACGCGACTCTCTTTAAAGGGAGCAGATGTAAGCGCATTCATATTTCTCTCACAGGCGTAGTTACTCAAGCTGCACGTAATCGCTCTCGTTGGAAATATAACTTAAATCCCATTGTTCTCTCATGTACGAAGGTAATTCGAAAAGTTTTTGCTCTAATAAAAAGAACATATGATTTTGTGGCAAATTTTTTTTTATTTTTCAATATTTTAATATAGTCCCTTTTCTGCTCAATATACTTATTCCAACGATATTCTAATAACTTTTTTATGCTTATATAATACGAGTTTTCTAAACCTTCGAAGCATTAGTTTCATCGCTTATTTTAATATTTGAGCCGCAGATATTTTCGCAAGCCATTTCCTCGTATTTGGAAAGAAGAAAAGTGTGGACTAATTATGGTGAATACAATGCTTGCGGTATTTATAATTTTTCAATTCGAAGCGCAATTTACAATGTTCTTAATTTATTTTAAATTTTAAAAGATTAAGATTTACATAATATTGTGACTGTAATTGAAAAAGTGTGCATTGTAGTAGCATTGTAGTAATGGATCTAAAAATTGGTTACCTTACACGATCGAAATAAAGAAACTAATGAATGCATTTATCTAAAATTTTACTCTGTGCACAGGATAAAACTTGTCTAAAATTATAGCAATTTGATATTTGTAGCGTTGTTTTTGTGTTAGGCCGAAAATTTTTTGAATCATTCTGGTTTTAGTTTCAGGCTAGTTTGCTCCATTTTTCGATAAACTCTCTCTCTCTCTCTCTCTCTCTTCAGCTCACTCTCTAACTCTCTCTTAGATCTCTGTATTCATAGTCGTAACTCGATCCATGATTGAACACCTCATTTCAGGTGAGCTAAGTTTGAATCAAAATTCGAACTTCGGATTTATTAAATCGTGGTTTAAGAAGCGTTTTTCAAATAAAAATCTAATTTAATTCTAATTTAAATTAGATCCCAGGTTGAATTATGACTAGGAATATAACTCTCTCTTACTCCTTTATTCTTTTGTTTATACATTAGATAAATCACACATGATGTATCCAAAGATGAAATAACCAGTCCTTAATCTTTTAAAATTTTTAATAAATTAAGAAACGAGAGTTAAACATACGTTAAAAAAATGCAGATCTTTTATTCAAAATAAGCAGAATAAATTAAATAATTAATAAAACGTTACGTCTCCAATAGGTAAAACCATATAATTAAAAATGTAACAGAAAACTGTGAGCTAAAGCTGGATATTCAACATCGATTTTTAATACATAATATATTTCAAATAAAATAGTAAAAAAAACGCTTCAACCTATATTAGATTATTCTCAGTGTTATTAATAGGTAAACAATAATATAATAATAATAACTTCATTTAGTGCAGCAGTTAACATTGATAATAGAATCAAATAAACAACATTTAATAACAATACATAATAATAATACTTAAAACATTTTTTATAGCAAATATTCCACTTTTCCTTAGGTACACCACATTCCCCTGATATCGTAAATTTATATATTTCAGATTTCACAATCTCGTAGGATTTTTTGAATTTGGAATTCAAAACATGAGTTGGGTTTTTACCGGACTTGCAGTAGCTTTAATTATTGTCATTTCTGCTAGCATCACACTTGTCCTTTGCAAGAGGTAATATTAATAATTTCAATATAATAAAATATATTTTAATATAATAAAAAGTAAAACACAAAAAACGACATCAGTCTAATCAATAAAATAAAAATTGTTGATAAAAATTGAGAATTATTTGTGGTTTTCATTTAGAAAATACAAAATTATCTTTAAAAATAATTATAAAATAAAATAATTACCTTTAGACTTATAAAGTATAGTTTGTTATTAAATGTTAAACTATAAAATTTTTTAACAGATTTATTCAAAATTACAACAAACAACAATCAAAAATTCTATATAAATGAATTATGTAACAGTTTTATGGGCTTTGTTTTTTTAATAATCTGAATGCCTTTGCCTTTTACTTTAATAATCCAATATTTCCAAAATACAATTTTAAACAAGCTATCTCATGAGTGATGATCAATAACATAGATAATTAGCAATTAGCTTCTATATTTAGTCTCGTCTCTCTTGTAGATATTGCACGGGATGGCAATTTAGCACCAGGAATTTCTGGAGCGTTTGCGAGGAATGGAGACAGAGGCTTTCCTGGCTTTGGGCACCACGGGAAGAAAAGGTAATGTAATTCAAAACACAAATTAAATTATATTTGGATTTCCCCTGGTAAAAATATATAAATTCTAACACTTTAAAATATAAAAATATTTGTTATATTTTAAATTTACAAAAATTTCTGAAAAATATCTTATTCAGGCAGCACGTACATATATTTATAATCGAATATACGATACTTTTTAGATATCTTATATTTGATTTTGAACATACATATTTAAAGACAAATGTTTATTTCAAATCACCTGGCATATATTAAAGCAAAAATAACAAATGCAGAACTAAAATTTTCTTTTTATCCAATTATTATTATATCCTGTCAATTATATTATTTTAAATGATGTCCAATTATAGTAGATATTATTTAAAGGTAGGGTTGGTAAAGGCTCAGCATCCAACTGCTCAGACAATACCAGGTCTATATTGCCAGACTGGAAATGCCTCTCAACATCTGTTGCACAGCGATAGCGACATTCGGCTTGATGCACAAGGCGCTTTTACCAGGTAGATTATAAATAATTAAAATTTTATAAATGTCGTATTTTATAAGTAGACAATTAATCAAATGAATTAAATCACATTATAACTATTATTTTCAATTATAAATATCCTTTACATTTATATGTAAAGAATATTTATAATTGAAAATAATACATACTTTACATATAAATTATAAATACAATTAAGATTGAAAGCATTTACTTATAATTTAAATAATATTAAAATTTTGTTTACTCAAAGAAGAAGAAAGATATGAACAATCTACAGAATGTTCTGCAACAATCACATTATTTCTTAAAAAGTGTTCCTGGAATAATTTTAAGTTAAAAATCCTAATACAAAAATATGATAATATTATATATGGTAAAGATGTTCCACGACGATCCTCTCAATATCATTTAAGATTACAAAATATAAATTTGCAATGATATTAAGAAACTGTTTTTTGCTTCTATACAGAATCTATTTGTACAATACGTACATATAATTAGTAAATATATGGTAAATGTGTTGACAAAAATGGATTCAGTTTCGATGACTGTGATCTTGATCATATATTCAAGGTTTTCAGTAACCTTTAAGAGGTTTTATCTCGCGCTCGTTCTTCGCTTAAAAGTTAACAAAAAAGTATAATAAATATTTTGTAATTATGTGACATCATATATAGTCTGCATGTACTTCTATTGCCATATTACCTGTTCAAAATAAGTTGTGTATATCTTTCTTACTAACATTAACAATAAAATAAATATAAATTGCACAGAAGAATATAACAAAGTCCGACTTTCCACGCGAAGCGAGGTCCATCCCCCATCCCTGCAAAGAGGCATCCGACTTTTCACGCGAAGATAGATTTACCCCACATCTCCCTTGTCTAGGCGTGTCCGACTTTCACGCGAAACGAGGTTTACCTCACCACTCCCCTGCTAAAGGGCGTTCGACTTTCCACGTGAAACGAGGTCCATCCCACCTTTCCTCTCAGATTATATAGGAACGTTCGATTTTCTACGCGAAGCAAGGTCCATCCCACCTATTCACCTGTCTTATGTCTAGGGACATTCGACTTTTCACGCAAAACGAGGTCCACTCAACATCTTCCCCTGCTAAGGAGCGTACGACTTTCCACGCAAAGCGAGTTCCACTTCATCACCCACCTGTCAAAGGGCGTCCGACTTTTCACGCGAAACGAGGTCCACCCCATCTCCCACCTGCCCAGCGGCTTATTAATATGACTTTCCACGTGAAGCGTGATCCACCCCACCTCCCTCCCTGCCTAGGGGTGTACGACGACTTTCCATGCGAAGCGAGGTCCACCCCACTTCCGCCCTGCTAAGGGGCATAACGACTTTTTATGCGGACGGATCTTGCTTTGCGTGAAAAGTCGAACGCCCCTAGGCAGAGGGAGAGGTGGAGTGAAAAAAATATATTACACCATCACACTGCTATACAGATTTGAGGCTGTCGACAGGGATCTACATCCGCCTCTTTGCGGCAGCACGATACCACCTCAACCGTTGAGGCCCGCACCTCAACCACGACCGACCGCTCGTCCGAGGCCATCGCCGCTTCAGACACCAAGTACTATCGATTATATCAGAATGCACGAAGCCAGTCCATTGACACCACCGCCATCATTGCAAAGAGGATCGATTCAATCAAGAGCCTCCGGTCCGTCCGTGTTTCTCTTTCAGAGCGAACCGCTGAAGAATCACGATCCTTTCCAGTCGATCGAGCGTCCCACCTTCGTGTTCGACAATGCAAAGATGATAGCGGAGAGCATCCAAATGACGCCTTACTCCAGTCAGAACCATGTAAATTCTAGATTAATCAGGTATAACTTTTTTTCCTATTTTTCCGAATATAATTTATTTAGCTGGATCATAAAGTTTAAAACCGTAAAGTCGTTTTTATTTGATTTTGTATGTCGATTTTAATTTTTTAGGCAATTTAAATCTCCTTCCAAAGAGCCCGCGTGGCTTAGATACGATATAAGCGCATCCATAGATAACTCTCGTGACAAGTTAAATGACGAAGAAGTCATTAATAGAAGTTACGATAGTTACGAGACTATTCAAAGGAATCATGTGCGACCATATACGAGGAATGAATCCAGAGGATTCTCAGACAGCTTCAACATAACGAATTCGTCGAATTCAGCTAACCAGATGATCATGGAATCAATATACGGACCACAGACCATTTCTAAGATGCTACAGAATAGCGAGGAATTGAACGGCGATCTTAACAGAAAAAATAATGATATGCAAAACATCGAGATGACTCCATTCAAAAGTACTTCCGACCATCAAGAGGATATTGATTCGTACATATTTCACAGCGATCTGTCCAAGTCGCACAATCTTCAGCGAGTCTCGCAATACATTCAGAGCTTACCCGATCTTCCTGTCTACGAAACCATGAATGAGTGTCAGACACGTTCAAATCGTGAATCGATATTGTTCGCAAGTACAATTCAAGAACCGATAGTGGACGAAACGAAAATTGCGAGCGAGTCGATTTTGAGTCCGATACCGCCACCACCCGCTCCTCCAGACCCATCTCAGAACATTACAAAGAAGAGTAGTCCGACAACCGGTGAGAGAATCTTCAGCGCACTCAGATCGGTTACTTCACAGAGCTACATAGATGCTTCGGAATTTTATAAGTGAGTTATTAAAAATTCATAAAAGTAGATGTATTTTCAACATTTGATATACAGGGCGTTCGAAAAATCGCCCGCAATATTTCGGGAAGTAATTCGGGACCCAAAAAGAAGGAAAAAAGTTATATAAATATAGGTCCGAAATTAAGTCATTTCCGAGTTATAATCACTTTTATGTTTAAAAAATTGTAATTTATTTTTCATAAACACAATCATAATTTATTTCATAGTGTTGTAACATAAATAACTACATTTCAGACTATTTTGGTGTTACTCAGGATGCACCATGTGGAAGCATAATCCGCTTGGCATTCCTTTTTTTTATTTTTTTTATTTAAAAATTTTTTTACTTTACTAGAGGCATGCCAAGCGGATTATGCCTCCACGTGATGCATCCTGGGTAACGCCAAAATAATCTGAAATATAGTTATTTATGTTAAAACACTATAAAATAAATTATAATTGTTATTATGAAAAATAAATTACAATTTTTTAAATATAAAAGTGGTTATAACTCGAAAACGACTTATTTCCAGACCTATGTTCATATAGCTTTTTTTTCTTTTTTTTGAGTTCCGAATCACTTCCTGAAATATTACGAGCGATTTTCCAAGCACTCTGTATAAAATACAGCAATTTTCTCTCTCTCTCTCTCTCTCTCTCTCTTCCTTTCTCTCTTTTTCTCTTTCTCTCTGTCTTGATAATTAGACTCAATTTTGATCTCTTCTATTGTTCGTACTGTACGATTTATATTTAAACGGGATGAAGCAATCGCTACGAATATTCCGCAACTGAAGACAACACTTTTATATTGATAATACGTGAACTTTATTCTGAATACAGCTATATGTAGATATGGTGCAAAAATAACTGCATCTACAGAGCCATTTTAGGGTATTGATTTCTCTCAAAAACCAAGGCTTGTAACGAAAAATGTTTCGGACAAAAATTTTTTACTTCAAGAGAACAATGTTGTAACAAGTATATTTTGAAAAGTATCTAGGTATAGATATCTACATATACGTAGCTATATATATCTACATATATCTAGGCACTATATGGTATCTATACCTATAAGGTGGGAAAAGTATCTAGTTAGAAATATAAATGCATTTTTAAAGAATTACCTACGTATAAACACAAATACACAAATAAACAAAAAAGTATAGAAGTACCTAAAAGATACTTTTTAGATACTTCTTATAAAAAAAAACAAATAGCGTGAACGAATTTTATTTTACATCAAACTATAATACTACCTATAATGCTACCTATAATACTATCTATAATACTACCTATAACACTACCTATGTAGTACTTATAAAAATATTTGAACAATTGCTATTTGTCATGCTTTTTTAAAATCACTAGTGTTTCAAACATTATATCGGAAATTCGATTTCTTCTAGGGACTAAAATTAAATTATAATATTGTTATATGTATGGTTGACTTCACAATTTCGTGATTGCGTTTGCACTCGCACACTTCGAAATAAAAGAACACTAGTATAAAAAAAGAACTCTTGAATGAAACACCACAAAGTACAGGACAGACGTAAACTGTTTGATAACAGAGAGCATAGATGTAGCGCATCCAGACAGATTGATGACTCAATTCTCACTCTAATTGCGTCCGTTAAACAAACGAAGATACGTTGCTCAGGGATCATATTCATCATCTCTACCATCGACAATTTGATCCGACTTGTTCCAGATCAATTCGAATTATAAAGCTTGAAAGTTACAGTATCGCCATCATTAGTATTACACAAGGTATTCGACTGACGACTAAAACCTCTTGAATATTTTTCAGAATCATGCACTGGATAACATTTGTCAAGGCAATTGTATCTTATTATTGTTCTTATAATACAAATTTATTTTACGTAAAAATAAAATAAAAGGAACAATCTCAAATTTACTTTAATCTTAACTCTAAAGTCATGATCCTGAACAACATTGTAAAGATAAAGTTTATTGTAGTGTTTTAAGCTTTTAATATTAGCTATTTGATTAAAATAAAATTAGAATAAAAAATAGAGTAAATTAAAAAAAATCTATATGACCTTGACTTGATCTTGGCGACACCACCCAAGATCGAACGATATGATTAGTAAATAGATTTTTTAAACTCTACAACTTTTATCTGAATCATTTTTGCCAAGAATACTTTGTTTTCGAGATATTTCACCGGTCCGGGACTTTTTTATTCACCCCATATAAAATATTATCAATGTAATATTATCAATAATATAGTCACATATTATATAAATTATACAATTTATAAAAGAAGTTGTAAGAATTTTATTTTCGCATTTGGAAAATTATTTTTAGCTGATTTTGTATAGAATCAAGTATAAATAAAGTGATATCTCTTTAAGAGACTTATATTAGTATCGGCGACTTTCCTCTGCTCTATCATCAGTTCTAAAGCATCAATTCTGAAAACATTTCATTGATTCTTTGTTATATTGAATTACAACAGGATATACTTTTTTGTTCATAGTTCGGTACTCTCATCAGCGCAGCAAGTACAGCAATTTGCATTTCCATCGACATCGCCACCGACATTCATGAATGATAGCACTGAAGAACATTTACAGGAAGCCGAATACTTGCAAGATATGCGAGAGATTTATGCGGAAACCGATTCAGACCTGTCTGGTCTCGATGTTTCAAGACGAAGTTCTGATCTTTATAGTCCTGAATTAAACCTTGAAGCTCACAGAACGGCGCAAGAAGTACTATAATTTACTTTTATGTTTTTTATTTAATATAACATTTTTGAAACACTGTTCGACACGAATTTTGATACAAGCAATGAAAAAAACTGATTTTAATACGTTTTTTTCCTTAGAATCCGAATCTAAAAAGAAAAGCAGTAAATTGGCGCTAGTTAAAAAAAAAAGTATTAAAAATGTAAAAAAACGCATTTTTTTTGTTACTTTTTGGTCATTCATAGAGAAGCTCGCAACGCGAGCAAATAAAACCTAAAAAGGATAAAATGAAAGCTTGAACTTTGCCTTTTTAAAATAAGAAGCAAAAAATCTGGTGTTATGACTTTGGAGTACTCGGGAACAGATTTTCTTATACAAAAGCGCATCAATTTTAATACATGCTTTTTTCCTCTGAGCGCTTTTTCCGTTCTTCAACATACCTCTTATTAATCCGGGTGCTTTTGTATGAGTACTCTTGTTCCTTGTCTCTAAATTGAAGTGCTTTTTTTATGAGTATCCTAGTCCACATCATTTATCATGTGGTACCATATGATACCGTGTATTATAACGTGTCAGTGATGTAGCTATTCTAGTTAATTACTAATAAACGCTACAAAGACTATAATCCGAGTGAAAGACAAAGACTCATAAAAAAATACTCATAAAAATAGATTAATAATAAGGAACACGTTGGAGAAGAGCGCATACGGAGAGGAACGTCTGTGCTAGAATTGGTGCGTGTGCTCCTGTAGAAGTAGTCTTGAATATTCCAATGACATAACATCAGATTTTTCGCATTTTAAAAGACAAAACTTAAAAGACTAAGCTTTTGTTTTATTCCTCTTAAAAAAAAATTCGAAATTCTACTGGATCGCATTATTTTTCTACTGATACTAAAAAATCAAAAACCTCTTTTTTGCATTTTTTACTCCATTATATTTTTTTAAAAATTAAAATTAATTTATTATTTTCCTCTTCAGGTTCAGAATCTAGAGCAAAAAACCCTACCGCGAAATCAGTTTCCATTGCTTAAATGCCTGAAAAAAACTTTAAAAATGTCGGACAATGTAATTTATTTATTCTTCTTTAGCCTTGTTTTTAATTTTGTTTTTTGCCTGTAGGTGTACAACAGTCTGCAAGATCCACCGTCGTCTCCCCTGTTACTTAAAGATCATAATCACGAGTCTTATTTATCAGATCCCAGTTTTACTCGCACGTCAGAGGTATATACCTTTTTGTAATAAAGAAGGAATTGTGGATTATATAGATGATAAAAAATATTTGACAGTACGATGTATTTAATTTCTTAATCAAAACTTTTTAGGATATTTTTAATAGTCTTGAACAAAGACGTAAAAGTATAGAAAGGCTGAATGGCATTCACGAATATGTAGAACTTGATGCTACCGATCTCTCGAGGTATGGACATTATCATAAAAAATTACGCGATATTCTCTAAATTATAATCTATGTCTTTCAAATATATAAATATGTCTTTCATTATAAAATCAAAATATATTCCCGTTATAATGCATGTACA